GTCCCACACGGGAGCGCGCCCCTTCTTCTCTCCCCCCTCATCTCGCGCTAGGTCGCAGCAAGGAGAGGGGGCCGAAGAGCAAGTCGCCGGAGAGGAGAAGCAAGGCGGTCCAGGCCACGCAGCAGCCGGCCTCCTCGACTCCGATCGGTGTTCGGCCGAGTCCTACTCTACCAGCCTGCCATTCTCCTCTCCCATGTGTGAGTGGGCCTGCCGGGAGGGGAACAAGACCAAGTGAGTGAGTGATCTTCGTGTGATGTTAGGATGCATTATAAAAAAAAACGTTCGTGTCTTAAAAAGCGTTCATCGATTCAAAACATGTTCATGACTTAAAAAATAAAAGTTCGTGTCTTAAAAAATGTTCGCGAATTTTGGGAAAATATGCAAAACATTGTTTGGGAATTACAGAAAATTATTTCAAAATTTTTTAAAAATGTTCGCAGATTCAAAAAATATTTATGAATTCAAACGGTCATTGAAAACAAAAAATGTTTCTGAATTTCAGAAAATGTCCGCCTATGCAAAAAAAACATGTTCACAATTTATAAATATTTTCCGTAAAAAAACCATGCTACTGATAACTAAACAGAAACAAAAAGAATATGTCAAAAAAAACTAAATAAAACAATTTAAAGCAATTAAAATTAAAAGAAATAGCACAAAACCTATAAAACACTAAAACAGAACTGTTTTCATGAAGACCTAATTTTAAATAATCCTAAAATTCACCAATTAATTACTACTGATAAACAAAGTCACAAAGAACCAGTAGCAAAAAGAACCATCTACAAAGTATACTCCTAGCTCAAATTATAGGCAATCAAGTGATTTGAGCAAATTCATAAAAATTCAAATTCAAACTTTCAAATCTAGTCAAACTTGATATCTACAGAAACTTCATAAAATTTCTAATCTAATGCAAAAAGAATAAAATTAAAATACTAAAAATCCTAATTGATATGAATTTTCTAAAACGGTAGAGCCGGTGTTGGCCGAAGAGGGACTTTTCGGCCAACCGCTGGCCAAAAAGTTCCTTTTCGGCCAACCGCTGGCCAAAAAGTTCCTTTTCGGCCAACAGGAGGCCGACAAGGTGATACTTTTGATTTTTCTGCATTTGGGTGTATAGTTTCTGAATTTTCTATAAAAATCATCATAGTTTCAAAAAAAGTCGAAGATATCATAGTATACCATACAACCAACATATTGGTCTCTCCCATAATATTCTGTTGTTATTTCCTATTTGAGCTCATCATCTAATTTGATCATTTTCCACTAGAGAAATATTTCTTTGATTAATTGTAAGTGAATTTTGTATTTACACATTGTTGTGTATGTCGCTCTTTTCTTCATTTTGTTAGCTTGACTTGAAATAATTTGCACCTATGGCTTAACAATTTGCACTTATATATAGTATGTATTGTGGCAAGCATGTATATATGTAGTATGCCTCTTGGCCCTTGGGTAAGATTAACAACTAGCTTTATATTGTACAGTGGTGCATGATCTTAATTAAGAAAAGAGGGACATGAGGGAACAACATTATAGCTTCTACATGGCATAAATATTTTGACATTAAGTTCCTCTTCGTATAATAATTTGTCGCCTTGTATGTTTTATAGAACATACTTCTTGTTTTTTTTCGCGGGGTCATACTTCTTCTTGTTGTGTGCACAATCTTGAAACATCCTATTTTTCTTCTGATTCTTCTGCTTAGTATGATGGTGTGTAAGTCTCTATCTTCATAGAGCTAATTTGGTACATTTCACGACATGCTAATTTGTGTTTAGTCTTCCTCCACTTATGCATTTTATTATTATTCTGGATGGTGTTGTTTTTAGCATTTTTATTGTGAACTCAAGATCGCTATTTTCTTGCAGAGTTATTTTTGGTATTTGCTGCTTCCAAGGCAGTAGTTAGATAGTAGCAAAGCAATGAGCTTCATGATATGAACGACAACATGAAGTGCAACGAACTAGCAAAATATAAACATGTCTACCACCCATAGAAGGTTGGAATAAACAAAAGGGATGCTATTTGTTAGAGTTGGTTGTAACATAATGTTTTGAGGGTCTGTTGTCCTTGTCATGAAGTGTGTTGTTGAAGGAAGTCAGTTATCCTATGTTGCATTCCTGATAACTATGTTGTCACTGATATGTAATACTTGTATTCTTTACTAGTATAAATTTTGTAGCAAGATAGTTATGCGTATGGATTTTACAGTTTTGTAATATTCTTTTCTTCTCTGATGTTGTTTGATTTGTAACGAGTGCATTTTAAACAATTTTGCACCATCTTATCTCAATATGACAACTCCTGCCTACCAAACATGTGTTCTATACAGAAGGGGTCGTGGTTTGGAAGGGGATTGGAGATTCAAGGGGATTTGAGTGGACTGGCGATTCAAGAGGATTTAAGGGGATTACGTGGCAGGGAGGGACTCGCCAAATTCCCTGTAATACCTAGCCACTGTTACAAAAACGGGCATCAGAACAGGCCCCTTGAAGCGACTGCGTCCCTAAAAAACGAAACCACCTTTGATAACCCAACTAAGGTGGCTATTTTTGGCTGAGAATATATCGGAGGTGGTTCCATTTTTGGAACCACCTGCTGGAATTACTGGAGGTGGTTATAAATCAGAACCACCTACGATTCGTCAGCATTTAAGACAGTTTTACCACCTGCGTCGGTCCAACACTTATCCTTTATATATCCTCTAGCCCCATTCCTAACACTATTCTTCACCCCCACATCCTAGATCTTGCGCAGTCAAGACTCGAGCGCTCACCGTTTGCGAGAGGCGGTGTTACAGTGTGCATACCAAGCAGTCGTCATGTTGCCTCTGGTCGTGGTCATGGTGCAGACTGCGCCATGAGCGCCCGACGTGCTGCGTCTCCAGGACTTGCACTAGCACCGAGCTCGGAACGATTAAGGTTAGAGGTACTCTTCCTTCCTCCAAATCCCCCACACAAAAAATTGAGGGATATTCGTGGGTATTAGTGAGTTACTCTAGTGTCGTGCTATCTTTTGCATGCCTTTCACGCCCATAAATCATGTTCTCATTGCAATAGTTCTTCCTAATTAAGTGTTCCTGACAAGCAAGTGTTAGCTAGATAAAGTAGAATACTTGCCATTTGATTACTTTGTATGAACTAATGAAATTTTTGTTCTAATTTTCTTTGCTTAATCCGCCTGCATAATAACTATTGCCGCCGCTACAATTATGCTAAGTTTTCAAGTGAACAAAGTGGTGGGCTATCTTGGCGTATCAATCATAAGTGGACCAATAATTTCTCGTTATTTTGGTTTAAACAATTAAGTTCCTTACAGTCTTGCTTCTTGCTCGAGGACGATCAAAATCTAAGGTTAGGAAGGTTGATGAGTGTATTTTCACACTCATTTTCACCATAGTTACACCGGATAATTCCGGATATTCTGAAAGAATCACTCTGATATTGTTACTAATGAATAATGATAAAGAATTACAAATCCCTCTGTTTATTTTGTTTCATGCAAGAAATGACTATTTTGAGGGAAGAATTAAAATAATATATGGAAATATGAAGTTATGCGATCAAGCCCGAGAAATCGAAGGTGTCAGAATGCAACCAAGAGAGAAGACAGGGCCGGGTACGAGTGCGCCCGCTTGCACTAGCGCTCATACCACCTGGCGCTGCCATCGTTACGCCACCACAAGTCAAAACTTCATAAGGCTGGTCATAGTGGGGAGTAACTTAGACTAATGTCATGCATATGACACTAGTCTAAGTTACTACCTTTATAATGCAAAGTAACGTGATAGTAGTGTCATAGATGGCTTTATTTATTAGCTTGTAGACTCATCTTGTCTTGGAAAGCGCTATGTTACAGTAACATATAATGTTACCACCTCACATTAAATACTTGCCACCTAAGCAAAAAAAAATTGAAGTGCGCTATGTTACTAGCTAAGTTACTCCCACTATAACTAGCCTAAAAGAGTAGAGCCCCCATTCGCAGCAGAAGAGAGTCCACTCGGGCTATGGCTGAGGCATAGCCTTGTAGTCCCATGTACCTGTGCACGTGATTGTTAGTATTGACTTTAAGGTCAAACTTATTATGTGTATTGCAAACAATTTGTCTCTTGTCTCTTTCTTGTTCTTAGGCCCCGCGGGTACGCGAGATCTTGAGGACTGATCAAGGAGGAGGTAAAAGGCGGGGATGAGTGAAAAGCTATGCCAAAAGCTTATGATAATAAGGGCGAGTACGGTAGCTGGAAGCAATTACCTGGGAAAAAATGCAGCCTAGTCATTAAATGCCTAATGCGATGGTCTGAAGAAATCCATGATAACCAAGGTAACCCCGTGCGACGGTAAAAGGCCTTGGTTGGATTATAGAATCCCGATGCAGTTTGCTAATTGGTCATGTGGGTATTAAGACGCATCCCCCACATTTGCACATAAAAAACACATAATACCAATATCTACCCGCGCCATATTGAATATTTAGATAAAACCTCAAGTGCAAGTATACGACTGCAAGTAAGATCTTAAGTCCTAACTTATTTTACTTCATGATTTTCTCCTCAAAACAATGTAATTTTGGTTCGCGAAACTAGAACTCTTTACGATAACAAAGCTTGTCAGAATCACCTTTCAGTTATCATCTTTTCCGTGGGATCCATACCCAGGGACACCTCTAGGGAAAAAGTCAAGGACTATCTACATCTGAAACCGAATCAAAGGTATTCAGTAGGTGACGCTGGTCACCGCGTTCCGGATGCTGCAGGAGGAGCAATGGTACAATTTACAGCTCCTTGAGCACAACCGGCTGGCAGAGGACCATATCACCGGCGAACAGGCTCCGAACAAGTTGTCACGGCCATGCACTCGATGGATCCGAGCTTGGCGAATGAGTAGCAGGCGGTCCTCGACTCCGTGCACATCGCCTGCACCATCCAACGAGAGTGGTGGTAGCTCCGCATCAAGGAGGTGGAGCTCAACCGTGTTTTCGACCCGATCGCATCGATGGTGAAGGTGGAGGAGGCGCAAGCGGAGGCCAACATTGGCAGCTCCGTGTCGTCCATGTTGGGCCACAACGACGACCAGGCCAGACAATCCAGTTCAATCGTCGACCTCACCTCCATCGACGATATCGACGGCCAGGCGGCGGACATCGGACACGTGCCCATGTCCGACGAAGAGTAGACCATGGTCGAATCCCATTGCATTCTAAAAAAAATCGAGTATTAATGAAAATTAGTGTATGTTTTTTATTTGATGCATCGTGTTTGATGACCAGCTCCGCTAAAGCTGTATGTGGTCACATCTAGATGTGTCCACGAACATTTGGCGTGTCCATTTTTATGCACAACGTTGGAGTTGGCCTTAGACCTTAAGGATATATGTGGATGCAATTTTTTTTAAAGGAGGATAACCCCGCCTTTGCATCAAGCGATGCACACAACCATCTTTATTATATTATTCAACACTGACAAGAACGAATGCATGAATCAGTCCAGAGCCACCTTCCTGACGAATTATGTTGCTACACCTACTAGCCTGATGATGTGTCTTGACAACGCACCAACGCACACCATATAATCCGGTGGTCTCAGCAAGCCACGCCACGGCGAGCCGAGATCACCAACCAGTCTAGCAGACCCTCAGCGCGTACCGCATGTGCACACTCCAGTTTCGCCACCGCCATCTTCCGCTGTCCGAATTTCAGAAAAGATCCACACAATGACCTTGGCAGGCCCAACTACCGTCGACGCAACCACGCCGCCAGACAAAGTCACCATCCTGCCCATGTCCATTAACACACATCCATCATTGAGACACCGCTGCGCCACGCCACCAAGACCCACCTTCGTCAACGCAGTAGATGCCACACCGCACCATGTTCGGCACCAGGAACCATCTGCGCTCGCCGATGGTGTATGCATGCTTAAATCGAGTCTCGCCTTTTGCGGATTTTGGCTGTTACTGAATTTCACATGTCAGAGAAAGACAGAGATTGACCTACAGAATGGTTCATTAGCTAGAACAAAAAAAAGGAAATGATATGTCATATGTGGCCTGTGATATGTCAAGTATGTTCGTGGATTTCTTTTGAGAGTTTGAGTGGTTGAGATGTGCTCCACAGAAAGGTTAGATGATATCAGCTGCTTGTTTATCTAGGCATGATTGTGTATCTTGTTCTTTCTAGTGGTTTCGTATCCGATTGTGCAAAAGGTGGCGATTGTTTCTTTCCCCCAACTCGCCTACCCACAGAGAGATGACTAGATGAGGACGCCGGCGCCGCTGCAAGCTAGAGTACTTTTTTTTTGCGGGGTCGCAAGCTAGAGTACTTAATTTGCAGGAAAAAAATTCGATGCGAATCCACGCACTGTTTATACTAAAAAGAACAGCATATCATGGTTCTATAAAATAAGGAACGGCATATTCGAAAATTGCACTAAACTAGCTGATCTAGCTTCTGTTTCAATTAAAAAATTAGTGGCTTGATGAACACGGTATGTACATAGCGAGCTGATCAGTCTGATAATCAAACATTCCGATAAATAAGCTCAAAACTGTTCCCATGGTAGAGTACAAACAACAATATTTGCCACGACTTTGACAGATGTTATTCCATGATGAAACTTTGCAAGCACACATTTATCAATGTTTGCCACACAAAAAAACATAATTTTTATATTTTTTTTCATTTTTTTGGATTTTACTTTTCTCCCGAGCTCATTTGAACTTGAGCTATGATACTCCGCGTCATGACTGTGTGCATCACAACGTTGCAAAGGCCCAAGGTTTAAACCTCCTTTTTGAGGAAAAAAAACTGATGATGGATGGACAGCCGTGTATCTGAACAGATTAAATCAGGAGTCGGCAATGGAATTGCATACCCCACGTCCCTTGATCTCAAACCTCGAATGAGGATGTAGGACGTTCAAGGCAGCTAGCTATAGTACCACAAAGGTAACAACACAGCTTGCAACAACTAAACACTTAGCAAGTCTATCTGCACATTCAAGACGGACCAAAGCTACGAAAAGCAGATTATTCGGCCACCTTTGTTTTGTTTTGTTTGAAACATCGAATTTGGACTACCTTGCCTTCTCACCAAAGCTAATGGTTAAATTACAAGATGTCACAAGGTAAAGCGTGCCACTTTTCATTCGGATCATGCATGCAACTAGGCCAAATTGGCTTTTCGCACACAATGTCACTGAAACTGCCAAGAAAAAGCATGTCTTACGCTGTAGCCTCGTTCAGAGATGGAGATGGGCAAGGTGTTGCAATGATGATTGCAAAAGGTTTTAGCAATTAAGATAAGTAAACAATGGCTTTGCTATATATACCTTATTACCTCCCATGTTTAAAGAGGAGGTGAGAAGGACCATGTTAAAATCCGTCTGTTGAGAAACAAAATATTTGCCATGTCAGGCAGTTTTTTCGTAGTTTAATTTGCTTCCAGAACCATGGTCTCTCCGACATAGCACCTCAGCACTGATTTCTCACTCTAAGCCATGAACATTTGATGACCCTCCCCTCAATCAAAACAATGCCACTATCGTGCTCGATCAGCAAGTAGCTAACCCCACAATTTTTCATATATGTGGAAATTTAATTTGTTATAAAAAACAATTCAAAACTTAATGATAATCATGTAACTATGGAACAACCACTATATCAAACGGGTATCCTGATGTTCCTTTATGATATTTTGAGAATGCTTGAGGATACTTTTGGACCTCTTTGATTTTTAATAAAATGGCTGTGTGCATCAACGTGATGCAGAGGCCGGGGGTTATGCCTCTTTTTCTAAAAAAAAATCCTGATGTTCCTTTTCCCTTTTCCTATAGATTATCAGGTTTTTAGATCTATTTCTTCTTCTTCTTCTTCCCCACATCCATCTGATTTTCACTTTTCTGAGTTATCAAGGTTTCTTGTTCTTCTCCTTCCTTACCCTAGAAAAATGGAGATACATACGTGTACACATTCCGTGAACCAACAAACCCTACAAGAAGAAGAACCATAAGATATCTTCTGTTAGATACGTTCGTGTACCTTTTGGCATAGTGCTCTAGAAAGCTCTGGTGAGAGACCACGATACACGAGCAATGAAGATGAAGCTTCATCTGCTGTGCGGCATAACAAGGGAAAGATAGAATAAAGAGAGGCAATTGTAAGGTAAATGCATGCGTTCCTTCTTCCTCTAGGGGTGCTGGTACGATAGTAAAGCAGAGGCCTAGAAGCCACGCTTGCTTTCCGCTATGGGTACCTAAATAATTAGCTAGCGCTCTCCTCGTCTCATCATCAACCCCATCTTGCGCCGGCAATGCGAATACTATAGCGGCACGATCTCGGCCGTCCAAACATCGTCGAACATCTCGATCCAACGGTGCGATCGATCCTCCTTCTCCTATAAATGAGGAGGTGCGCTGGCCTCTCATTCTCCTTAAGCATAAGACAGCAAGAAGCGACAGAGCCCCTTAGCGGCCACCAATAATCACTCTCTCTATGCTTCTCTAGTTTCTAGCCAGCAAGTTTCTCTCACTAGGCAGCAAGCTAAACTTGGTGTAGAGCTAGGTAGGATGGGAGGGAAGTCGCCCTTCTCCTTCTTCTGCCCGATGTTCAGCTTCCTGTCGAGGTCGAGTTCGAGCTCAAGGTACGACGACGGCTACATGAGCGACTGGGAGGGCCGGCCGAGGTGCGGGAGCAAGGTGCGGTCCAGCGACGAGGACTCCGGCTGGTGGGTCGGCGAGCGCGACGTCGACCGCAAGGCCGCCAACTACATCAACGAGTTCCACCAGAAAAAGGCACCACCAACACCTAGCTAGGTAGCATGCAACACTCTCCATGCATGCAACCGTGTATCAGGAGTCCAGGACACGAAGGTTCTTGAATGGTTCCTCTTTTATCATGCATGTTGTGTTGATTTAGAGGAGGACGAATAATTTTTTGCTTGGCAGATGTAGATCTATGTGCTCGTGTGTGCTCGTGTGTGCGCGTGTGGTGTGCGGGGATGGCAGGGATGCGTCACAGATGTATTTGTTGTTTGCTGCCATATTAAGCGATGATGATGAATGTATATATAGTGTGTTTCCGTGCATATGTGTTCTGTTTGATCAGTACTTCAGCGGATTTGCTAAATCACAGGCAACTGATTATAGTTTTTGCGGCTCGATTTCGCGGCGCGGTGGATAGCAGGTCCGAAGCTGGCTGCGGTGTCCCCGTGAGACCTAGCAAGGAGTGAGCTGGCCCAGCTGGCCACGGCGTCGCAGATGGAGGCGAGTCGGAGGTTTGACGGGTTCAGGTCGGAGGTCTTTTCATGCTAACTGCATGTCGGATTGGACCATGGCCATGCCGGAGATGCGAACTCCGAGGTGTGGGAAGTCAGGGCTCACATAGGTTAATGCTTCTAAGACGGCGACCGGAAGAAAGGCAGGGGACAACTGAAGGAAGAGTGAATGGACCGGGAGAGAACATACAGTGGAGATAGAACGGTTGGAGGAGGAAGATTATCTACCCGTTTGTTTTGATTCAATGTGAGGGGGCATTCACTTCCAAATGAACAGAAACTGAAGAAGACGAAAAATAACCCAAATGATAAGTATCACACATGTGACACAAAGCAACATAGTCTGAACACCCTTATTACCATCCATTTTGACACATCAAACAGATGATATCAGCGGAATCTTTTTGGTTTTTTGGACTTAAAAATATTTATCTCTTAAATAAAAACCCAATAAAAAAAAATCTGTTTTCATCATTAAATCCGTCGCAAAGAGATCTGCAAAACTAGATCTCATATTGATATATTTCGATGACTTTTTTTAGCCAAAAGTTGCCATGTTGTTACACTGAAGTTGCCATACTGTTGATACTAAAGTTGACATGACTTGTTTCATCTATTTTTTTCTTCTAGATTTAAAGCTATCATTGTGTTTTAACTACTTTTCTTGGCAAAATTTACTAATTGACATGGAAAATTTTATTAATTGACCATGGCAATTTTTAATAATTAACCACAGCAAATTTGATTCATGGATCATGACAATTTTTAGTAATTCATCATGGTAAATTTAGTTTATAGATCATGGCAATTTTATTATTTTGACCATGGCAATTCTAGTATTTTGACCATGGAAATTATTTTTTGTATGAACCATGACAAATTTTAGTGCATGTATCATGGCAAATTTAAGTAATTCACCATCAAAATTTTAGTTTCTGGTTCATGGAATATTTGAGTCATTGACTATGCATTTTTAAAGCAATTGATGACAGATTTCTTTTTAACTATGAACCATGTCAAAATTATTTCATGGATCATGGCAAATTTTAGTAATTCTCCATGGCAAGTTTAGTTTCTTAATTCACTTTTTTATAACATGTCAAAACTTACTTTAAACGTATGAGAAAAAATAGTCGAAACGTGGCAACTTCAGTGTAAACTACCGGAATCGCACCCTATGCCGACGGCCAGGGCCGTCGGCATATCCCTGAATGGCCGTCGGGACAGGCCTATGCCGACGGCACCCGTCGGCATAGGGCCGTCGGCAAAATATCCGTCGGCGTAGCCAGGAATGCCGTTGGCGTAGCCAGGAATGTCGTCGGCATAGAAAGGCCATCGGCATAGGCCCTATCCCGACGGTGTCCGTACATCTATGCCGACGGCCCCGGCCGTCGGCAACGTTATCGCCTAACGGCGGCCGCCGTCAAGTGCTGACCAATGCTTGCTCGCCACGTGGCAGGTCTGTGCCTACGGCCTGGCCGTCGGCATAGCTGTCGGCTTAGGTTGAATCTATGCCGACGGCTAGACCGTCGGCATAGACCTGCCACGTGGCAGCCACTGGGAGCTCCTGGAGCAGGCCTATGCCGACGGCTTAGCCGTCGGCATAGTTTTAAACTAAGCCGACGGCTAAGCCGTCGGCATAGACGTGCCACGTGGCAGCCACTGGGAGCTCACAGCAGCTCTATGCCGACGGTCTTGCCGTCGGCATAGTTTCTGTCTGTTTTTTTTTCTTTTTTTTGTTTTGTTTCAGCTCAATTCATTTGAATATATACATCACACAACAAATATATGCATCACATAACAGCTGGCCCAGCAGCATCACAGAAAAAATTCATCATCACACATCATAAGAAGCATCGCAAAGCATAAACATATAAGTATCATCACCACCAAGCATAAGAATCTCACAAACAACAATAAGAAACATCACAAGCATATAAGTATCATCACCACCAAGACCGCCACAATGTGACCCAAAGGCTTAAGCGCCACGACGTCGAGCACCACGGAGGTCGTCACCGCCAAGACCGCCGAAGCCCAGGTCGTCACTGCTACCGGCAGCGCTACCGCCAAGACCGCCTCCTCCTCCGCCTCCGCCTCCGTGGATCGGAGTGGTCGGGCTCCATGTCTCCGGAGTGCTGCGAAGACCACCGCCAACGGTAGATCCACCTGTTCCGTGGATGTTGAAAAGACATATGCACGGGATATATGACTGTGTTGAAAGGCATGACATGCTTTGGGTGAATAGATTGGGGATGAACTAACCGGCGAGGGGCCAGCGTTCTGTGCCACAAACTCCTCAAAGCTCATCAGCACTGGTTGTGCTGGAGGGCATTGTGCTGGAGGGAACTGAGGACACCTGCCGGCCGCCATATTCTGAAAAGCCTGCTGCATCTGGCTATCCCTCTGCACTTGGTGTTCATAAAGCCTCTGATGCCACGCCATGGTCTCCTGGCATGTGTACTCCATGTAGGCCTACTGTATGACATGATGGAACTCATAAAACTACTAAATGCGGAAAATGAAGTGAGAAATGAAGATAAGAGGGAAAATACTTACAGATTGTTGCTCCTGAAAGAGGTACTGTGTACTAGTCACTGGCTGGCTCGTGCGCTGGCTCAGGCTCGGGTCGATCCGACGAAGCTGTGTGTAGGAGATACTAGGAGTGATCACAGCATCGAGAACCGCCTCCCGACCGTGCTCCTTGGGCCCCATCCTCACCACCGCCATGTCGTCCAGAGGCGCCGCAATGGGGTCAGGTGTGTTAGGATGTAACTCCAGATATGCTTCGGAGTAGGCCTTCTTCCTCTCTGCGGTCTTCTTGCCGTAGTACTTGGGCTCGCCAGGCTTGGGGTCCTTCCGCGTATGGGCGATCTCCCACGCCTGCATGTGTGAGAGCGGCCGCTTCAGTTTCTCCTCCTGCACCACCAAACAGAGGTTAGTCATACATAAGAAAGTGATGGTAAATAGAAGAAGAAGAATGTTTAATGGGGTTAGTCATACATTAACTGCCTTGTGGAGATAGTGGTTTCAGTTTCCCTGAGCATGTACTCCCTCCGTCCCTCGGTTAGCCTTATTTTTGGTTCTCATAGCCGCCCAGGCTCCAGCCTCATCACACCAAAGATCCACCAATGCCGCCCAGGACTCGTCTTTTCCATAACACCAATTTGGACACACCTACATGCCAAGGTGTGTCCAAATTGGTGTTATGGAAGCATAAAGCATAAAGCATAATGTACCACAAGGTAATGAAAGCATAATGAAAGCATAATCTCTACCACGGTCCTGCTCGGCTATGTTTATCGGCGGCATGTCAAAGTTTGGCATATATCCGTGCGTGCGAAGGTGCTCACTCATGTCCGTCTGATTTCTACGGTGACGTCTGGCACATCTCGCACAGGGGTATGGTGGGATAATTCTCATTGGACGACGGAATATCTCCTTCAAATACACATCGGTTTTCGCGATCCACTCTGATGTTACTCGATTCCGACGGATAAAACCACTGTACATCCACTGATTATCTGCCATCCTCTGCTTTTTTGCAACCCACACAACATAATTAAGGATTCACTTAAATTAATGGCATCAAATTTTCAGTTTCTACCGCGTTTAATCCACCTACATCTCTAATAGGTAAAGATGGGTCCTAATCCCACCCGAGGATGTGTAGATTCAGTACGTTCTCCATTCTACCCCGTTCCGAGACAAAATTTCGGCAGCACCTCCCCGCTGTTCTCCAGATACACGTCTCGGCAAATAGCCGAGAGAATGTGCTCCAGAGAACAATGGGGAGGCGCCGCCGAAATCCTGTCTCGGAACGGGGTAGAACATGGAGAACATACCCAATCTACACATCCTCGGGCTGTCCGTGGAAAACGCTGGACAATCCGAAAGAGCTGCGGTGATAAATATGCAATTGAATGCATATTTATCCATGCAACCCTTTCGGACGGGAGACGCGTAGGTTACGTCAGTTGACTTGAGAATGAAATCTAGTGATATGAAAAAATGGAGGGGATGGACTTGTAGCTCACCCTCGGCTGTAGAGGAAGTAGTCGAACAGCAGAGGGATGCTCAGGGGGACCAACGCGTCGTACAACGGTCACTCCGATGAAATGCGACACCACAAAGCCTGCAAATTCCACCGAAAGAACAACTTAGATCATCACATCTCAGTAAAGTGTCAAACTTTTGTCTTCTATTTTTTTAGCAACATCATCATGAGTATCATTTTTTTAGCAAGATCATCACATCTTAGTAAGTCTCAAAATTTTGTCTTCAATTATTTTGTCCAACATCTCAGTCAAGTGTCAAATTTTGTCCAACATCCATCCATCCATTCATCTATCATTAACTTTACCACATACATTCGTCAACATGACCTTACATTAAATATATGACAAACAAAACAGAATCGCACTGGAATCCATCTATGATTCTAACAACATCCATGAATCCATCTAAGAAAAATTTATCCATACATCCATCCACCTAAAAATATATGACAAACAAAGTTTCTAAAAAAATTCACCGACA